TAGAAATCAAAGGGCTAAATTGTTTGATGATCAGAAAATAAATTTATAAACTGACGATCCCAAGATTCCATGTATGGACTGTACTCATCTGTCTGGTTAAGCGGCCAATCATTCATTCTAAAAAGGGCTTCAGTACATGTCTGAGTGAATCTGAAGGCTCAGGCCAAAGCACTTGGAAGGATTGTACCAGAAGGTGGGTGTGGCCCCAGGAGAGATAAGGATTTAGCACAGTGCCTGGGCCTGTGAGCAATCAATAAATATTTGTAAAGTGAATGAATGATTAAATAATTGAAAGAAGGGAGGAAAGTGAGAAAGGTATAACGAATGAGAAAATCAAGCAAATGTTTTATTGTATACTGAAAGGATGTTTTACTTTTGTCTTAAAAGGCTTCCATTTTTAAATACAGTATTACTAGTCATCACATCAGTTTCAAACTAGTATGAGAAATGCTCATTTAGTGCCTGTGTTTCTTGTTAAAATAACATCTGTTACTGCCTGTTGATTTTCTGAGGATGGATTTGGGGTTATATTAAAAACAAGTATCTGATTTGTTCTTAAGAGCATCTAGAAAAAAAGTTAGCTACTCCAAATGGGAGATAGAGCCCTGTTTCTTGACCTTTACGGTGGACAATTACAAAAAATGGTAAATGCTTGATAGTACTGACGAGGGTATTAAGAACAGGCACTCCTGGTGGCAGTGAAAACTGGTGACTATCTGGAAAGCAATTTGGCTTTTTGGTAATTTTAATCCACATATCCTTTAACCATCCAATTACCAGATATTCATTGAGAGCATACTCCATGCCAGACACTCTTCTGAGCACTTGATCTCAGTAGGGAACCAGAGAGACTAGTCTCCTGCTCTCTTAGAGCTCACATCCAGAAGGGAAGATGGATAATGGGCAAGATAATTTCATGTGGAGTGAAGTGCTAGGATTAAAATTAAGCAGCATGATGTGAAGGGATGAGAGTGCTCATTTAAACCTGACAGCCCTCACTGAGAAGGTGACTTTCAGCTGAGTGCCCAATGACAAACAGCCAGCCACCTGGGATCAGAGTGTAAGGAGAATGAAGAGGAAGTACAAAGGCCTTGAGGTAAAGAATGAGCTTTCCACTTTAAGGAGAAAAGGCTAGGCTGGCTCCAGGACACAACTCAGAGGTAGTTGATAAGAAATTAGGTTGGAGAAATAGGCAGAGGCCAGGTCTTAGCAGCTTGATAAACCAATCTAAACCAATTGCCCAGTCCATTCCAACTTATGGTAACCCAAAGGTAGAACTGTACTCCCTAGGGTTTTCAATGGCTGATTCTGTGGAAGTAGATCACTATATCTTTCTTCCTAGGCTCCTCTGGGTGGATTCAAACCTCCAGCCTTTAGGTTAGCAGCCAGGTGAGTTAACCATTTGCATCACCCAGGGACTCCAAACCAAGATAAGGATTTTATTCTCACTGCAATGGGATAGAGGAATATTAAAGGGTTTTAATGCTAATTCCTAGTAATTCCACTACTAGCAATTTACCCTATGGATACAGTCACAAAAACATTCTGGATGTATGTTGTTTCAGTACTGTTTGCAACCACAAAGCACTGGAAATAACAGAGGACTGGTTAAATAAACGTTGGCACACCCTTATAATGGAATATTATGAAGTCTTTTAAAAAGAGGTGGTTCTGTAGATTGCAACATTTGAAAGAGCTTCCAGAT